TACAGGATGCTTCGGTCGATGCTCGTGTTGAGTCTGCTTCCCTTGGACCGTTCGACCGAGGTTGCTGGAGAGCTTCAGTACGCAGTAGAAGCTCGAGTCGATGGAGTTCGGATCTGCTAGTTCGCCGGCGATCAGGGCTCAGAACTAGGCAGTGGTGCTGTAATGCAAGGATTATGCAAAAAGCTTGGTCTCGATCCCTTTTTCTCAGAGTTTTCCGACCTCTTTTAAAGGTCGTTGGAAGAGGCTCTTAAATAAAAGAGAGACAGTTCTGCTGTTCCCAGAATTATGGGATGTGACCATACATTGCTCAGAGATACCCTACTGTTCACCTGTACCATGAGCGGTCCTTCGAGGATCCGTGTTTTGCATCACGTTATGTAGGAATGGGAAAGCCCCTCCTCGTACGTGTGACAACGACTGTCAGGTACTCGAGTGCATCTGACCAACTCACTGAGCGTCGGCGGCTCTCGCCTCTCGCTTGGGCAAGTGAGGTAAGTCGCATTTATGAGGGTGCAGGTTGAGTTGGCGTTTGTCCAATCACTTGTACTGTGAGCGGCCATTCGGCGGGCCTGGAGTACTGTGTCTTCTCTCTTCAGGCCGAGAGAGGTGGGAAAGTGAGTTCCCGGTACTCGAGTGGGCATGGACAGCTCGCCGAATGCCGGCGGATCCGGCTCCTGATTCGGACAGCCGAGGTGAGCTGCATTTATGAATGTTCAGGTTGACTCGATACTTGCCTCATCATTCGTACTGTGAGCGGCCACTTGACGGCCTTGGAGTACTGTGCCCTCACCCTTCGGGTCGAGAGGAGTGGGAAAGCCCGCCTCAGCACGTGGGGTATCAGATACCTGGCTGTGTTAGCGGCCTTGAGGTTTGCTGGCGGATTTGAATACAGACTCGGTTAGGCGAGTTGTGATAAAGGGTGAATTCGCATGGCTTTGGGCGACTTCCCCTTACAGGCGGATTTCTTGCAAGTTCACAGAGGTATTTTTTACCGTCTACACTTTCCTCTGTTTCTTTTTTTCTTTTTTTTTTTGCTTTGCATGCTTTTAATTAATTTCTGTTTTTGTGTAGATTATAATATATTCATACTCATGATTGTTTTTGAAATTCAATCACGTGGTTACATATCATTATTTAATTAATTATTTTATTAGTAAACTTCAATATAAGCTCTTCTTAATTTTATTTACTCTTTATTCTTAGATATAATCTAATTTATTACGATTGTTAAAAAATGCATGTTGTTTGATTACTTACTAAGTACCATCAAAATTATTGTTTAGAAAGAATAGTTGACTAATTTATTCTAAACTCCCTTGATTAAGGTGAATTATAATTTTTAAGTATATTTTTGTCCCCCCCTTGATTAAGGTGAATTATAATTTTTAAGTATATTTTTGTCCCCTATTGTTGTTGATATAATTTTCATATGGTTTTTCATTTTCTAACACATATTTTTTTACCTATAGGATAATATCATCTCAATTCCAATTTTGTACTCAAGATTTATTTCATAATTACGAGTATCAGGTTAGTGTAGAATATCAATAATTTTTTTATATTGTGATAATGATTATAGTTGATTGTTTACTTTTGAATTTTTATGAAAATTTTTACTAATTTGTCCAACTATCTACATTGCTCATATATATTCATAAATTAATAGTAATATGACATATGATTTTCCTTTGTAGAAATTTATTCTCTGGTTTTTGGATATCATAACTACTATACAACACTTTCTCGCCTAAAATGGCTTCAAGCCAAGGTTTGCATTAAACTCAATAATGAATTATTCATATATTATTATATTAGTATATGTGTATGTATTTATAATACTACATGAACATTTTTTTAAACAGAAGAGAACACTCCAATACCCAGAATTAAAAAGACTAAATATTCTTGGTTGAGTGATGAGCAAAATAAATCTTACATTCAGAGAATTGAGGATAATAAGAGAAAGCGACACAGTAATGACTCTTCTGGTAATACTATTAATGGCAAACGACAACGTAAAGTTGACCTATTTTGTGGAGCCCTTCTACTGGCCTATGAGCATGAAGGTTGGTGTACATATACTTTATAGTTTATTGAATGAGCCATATAACATTATATATTAGTTTATTAAATATTTATATTTGTTCTAGGCCAAATTCTTCATGAACCGGTATGTTCTTTACTATATAAGCTACGCACTCCAAAGTCTTGTGCTTATTGTGGATCCAAAAAGTTTGAACATGAGCCTCCAACATTTTGTTGTCACAACGGTGAAATCCACCTAGCAGATGTGAATATTCCAAATGAATTATTTGCCCTTTATACAATGCAAACACCAGAGGCAATTGAGTTCCGAAGCCAAACCAGAATGTACAACAGTATTTTCTCATTCACATCGTTTGGGGTAAGATTTGATAAAGATCTCGCATCAAATAGAAAAGGAGTTTTCACATTTAGAGCACAATGACAAATATATCATAATCTCCCAGCTCTAATTCCAAAAGAAAATAAGCCTTCATACTTTTAGCTTTACTTCTATGATATAGAGAATGAGTTGCAAAATCGATTGGGAATTCTACACAATGCAAATATGAGTGAAACCACAACTAAGAGCTTGATGGATATATTACAAGGAAACCCATATGCAAAGTTCCTTCGCAAATTGAATGATTATCAATATTTTTAAGAATTAAAGATACTAATAAATAGTGACGTTGCACAAGATCAACGTGTTTACAACTCACCAATAGCAGATCAGGTGGCTGCAATCTGGGTTGAAGGAAATAATGACAATGCACCATTTGAGAGAGAGATTATTGTCCATGCACACTCAGGAGGAAGACATCAAGTGAAACACTATTTTGGCTGTTATGATCTACTGCAGTATCCCTTACTCTTTCCAAATGGAGAGGTTGGATGGCATCAAAATATTAAAAGAAGGGATAAATGCGATATTAGAACTTACAATCAACAAAGAACTATAATACCAACTTCAATATCTCCACCTACCTTCACATCTGTAGAAGACATATTTAACCGAGAAAGTGAAGGTAAAATTTAATTCATATTTCTAAGTAATATTATTATATATGAATATAGATTAACGCCTAAATTTATAGGCGTCAAGGCACCAAAACCCCGAAAAGTTTCATGCCGAGATTATTATTGTCATAAGCTCCAGATAAGAGACACTCGATAATCTTTTATACTTACATCAGTAGGTCATTTATTCCATCAATATGTTATTGATATGTACATAAAGCTTGAAATAACAAGGCTTGATTACTTTAGAAATAAACAATCAGAAATAAGAGCAGAGTTATTCCAAGGCATTGTCGACAGTGTAGCTGCCAGCGAAGCAAATGCCAGCCAAGTGGGCAAAAGAATAGTTCTTCCATCATCATTCATAGGTGGTCCTAGAGACATGCGTCACAGATACCTTGATGCAATGTCATTAGTACAACGATTTGGAAAGCCAGATCTTTTTATAACAATGATATGTAATCCAGAATGGGAAGAGATCATTGAGCAACTACATCCAGGCCAAAGCCATAATGACAGGCCAGACCTAACCTCAAGGATATTTCGAGCAAAGCTCTAAGACTTGAAAGATCAACTATTTAAGAAGGAGATCTTTGGGAAAGTTGTCGCACATGTTCATGTGATTGAGTTTTAAAAAAGAGGGCTACCACATGCACATATATTAATAATTCTTATTGGAGATCACAAAATCACATCATCAGATCAGTATGATAAATATGTATCTGCGGAAATTCCAAACCAATCCAAACACCCGATCCTCTATGAATTGGTAAAAAAATATATGATGCACGAACCTTGTGGAGAGTTGAACATGAAGAACAGTTGCATGCAAAATGGAGAATGCAAATATCACTATCCTCGTGATTTTAGCTCACAATCAATTCAAGCAAAAGATGCTTACCCAATTTATAAGAGAAGGAATGATAACAAAACAATGTTGGTCCGCAATAAAATCCTTAATAATCAGTGGGTTGTACCTTACAATCCATATTTACTGACACGTTATAATTGTCACATTAATGTTGAAATATGCTCAGACATTAAAGGAGTGAAGTATCTTTACAAATACATATATAAGGGTCATGATAAAGTGGCAGTAAACATTGAATATAATAAAGAAGGAAGACTTGTGAATGAAATCAAAAATTTACAAGATGCAAGATGAGTATCAGCTCAAGAAGCTTTGTGGAGAATATATGAATTCTATCTTAATGAGATCTACCCAGCTGTCATCAACTTACAACTACACTTGCCGAATCAACAGTTTGTTTCCTATTGGAAAAATCAAGACCTATCAAAGCTCATCCGCTGGGACCATGTCCACAAGACGATGCTTATAGAATTTTTTACACTATGTTCAAAAATTAAAGAAGCCAACAAATCAAAACCAAAAAAGGATCAAGAAAACAGAATTTTTTACACTATGTTCAAAAATTAAAGAAGCCAACAAATCAAAACCAAAAAAGGATCAAGAAAAGGAGTTATTATATTGTGAACTTCCCGAATATTATGTTTGGGATTCGACAACAAAATGTTGGAGTCTAAGAAAACAAAGACAGGTTATAGGCCGTATAAATGGTGCTAATCCAATTGAAGGGGAAAGATATTACTTACGCCTTTTACTTACTCACATCAGATGGCCCACCTCATTTGAGAATCTATTGACCGTGGATGGAATTTAATGCACATCATTCAAACATTCAGCTCAAAAATTAGGTTTATTAGAATCAGATAATAGCATCAGAGAATGCTTAGATGAAGCCGTCATCTTTCAAATACCAGCAACCCTTCGCCGCCTGTTTGCAACCATACTGGTTCACTGTGAGCCCGCAAATGTTAATAAATTATGGGATCGATACCTTGACTCATTATCTGAAGTCTTCTCAAGGAAACCTGGTGCTACGAAAGTTTCGATTATAAACGACACCATTTGCAACATTAAATTCTTCTTAGAGAGCATGGGAAAGGATATCAAGAAATTTGATTTACCACCTATTCAAACTAACCCTCATTCAAAAGGAAGTTCATACCTAAGAGAAATTCAAGATGAACTCAATGTACAAATTCCAGATGAAGACCTCAATGCTGAATCATCACTCAATTCAGAACAATATAATGCATACACTTCCGTACTATCACGAATTCAAGGAAATAAAAGCAGGATTTTCTTTATTGATGGGCCAGGAGGAACTGGGAAGACATTCTTATACCATGCTTTGCTAGCCAAAGTAAGATCAGAAGGGATGATAGCTCTTGCTACAGCGACATCAGGCGTGGTAGCAGTAATAATGCATGGAGGCCGAACAGCACATTCCAGATTTAAGATAAAAATCCCAACAACAAAATCATCTATGTGTAGCATATCCAAGCAAGATGGAACCTCAAAGCTGATAAAGATAGCTAAGTTAATAATTTGGGATGAAGCTCCAATGGCTAAACGTGTTGCAATTGAAACATTAGATAGAACATTAAGGGATATAATGGATCAAGATGAACCATTTGGTGGCAAAGTAATAGTATTTGGTGGGGATTTCAGACAAGTTTTACCAGTAGTACCCCACACAACAAGATCACAAACTGTTAGAGAAAGTTTAGTAAGCTCATATTTGTGGAGCAAAATGGAAAAGTTGAAGCTATCGAAGAATATGAGAGCAAGAACAGATTCAACATTTAGCGAATTCCTTTTAAGAGTTGGAAATGACGATGAACCGACAGTGGCTGATGACCTAATAGCATTGCCCACTTCTATTTTGATAAAGAATAAAAGTGATGATTTACCAGAAGATTGTCTAATAAATGCACTTTTTCCATCTTTAGATGAGAACTTCAAATCCATTGACTATATGAAAGATCAGGCTATCCTGGCAACAAAAAATGAATATGTCGACATGCTAAATGATAGAATCATAAAACAATTTTCAGGTGAAGAAAAAGAATTCTATAGCTTTGATGAAGCAGTTGATGACACTAATCATTACTACCAGCCAGAATTCCTAAACACGTTGCTACCAAATGGACTACCACCCCACAAGCTGGTATTAAAGAAACATTATCCTATTATTTTATTAAGGAACCTGGATCCGACTAATGGGCTATGCAACGGAACAAGAATGGTATGTCAAGATTTTAATTGTAATATAATCCATGCTAAGATCACGATGGGCCAAAAGCAGGGAAAGAAGTTTTCTTGCCAAGAATACCATTATCTCCAGCAGAAGATGAAGGGTTCATGTTCAAGTTCAAACGAAAGCAATTTTCAATACGGCTATGTTTTGCAATGACAATCAATAAATCACAAGGACAAACAATTTCTCATGTAGGCATCTATCTACCTCAACACGTTTTCTCTCATAGACAGTTGTATGTTGCTTTATCATGAGGGACTTCAATGATAACAACCAAAGTCCTAATAATATCAGACGGACAATTTAAAGAATATGAAAGATACACAAAAAATATAGTATACAAGGAAGTCCTCCAGCCAACAAACATGAAATGAACTTCAAAGTCGCAATAGCTATTCTAAAGGTAATTAATTTATAAGAATAATTGCGTATGTTCATTCATGTTCATTCCTATAATTTATAATTTTCAATATTGTATAACTTTTTCCCTTTAGCATTCACTTTTTAACCCCACTCAAACTATATTATCAGTTAAAAATATTCAAAACCTTATGAGGAAAAAGAATTAATAAATTTATTTTCTAAGATATGGTATATTCTATAATATTGTTCAAAACTAACATGTATATTTTAATCTATTTAACAGAAAATATGATTACCGGTATTGAAGCACAAACTCAGCACATCCAAATAAGCCAGCTCAAGAAGTTTCAGAAAGAATGGACCATTCATGTTATCATACTTCGAAGTGCAGAGACAACTTATAAAAATGCAAAAGGGTTAGGAAAAATACTAAAGCTAATTCTTACTGACGCAAAGGAAAAATAAAATTATTTTTAATATTATATTGTTTGCCCAACGTTACATCTGATCATATGAATATTGCTAAAATAAAATTATTTTTAATATTATATTGTTTGCCCAACGTTACATCTGATCATATGAATATTGCTAAATCTCATTTTCTAATCGGCCAACGTTACATCTGATCATATGAATATTGCTAAATCTCATTTTCTAATCGGTAAATTATATTAAAACACCGATAACTATCAGAATGGCTTTTTATGATGTTTCCCTGTTTACATATAATATATATATTAGTATTAATTAATTATGTTTTTCATAAATTGATCTCTGGTGTTAATAATATTTGCAGGATAACAAAATACAAGCAGTAATGTACGGAGAGACTATCGAAAAGTTTATAGATATGCTTCAAAGAAATCAAATTATTTTCAATTCAAATGGAGAAGTGAAAGGAATAAACCCAGCTTTTCCAAGTATCCACAAGTCACTTGAATTAGTACTAACAAAAGACGTATCGATCAAAGAAGCACCAACAGGATTCCACTTGGAGAACATATTTAACAAACAAAAGACGTATCGATCAAAGAAGCACCAACAGGATTCCACTTGGAGAACATATTTAACAACTTTGTCCAATTTGAAAAAGCATTTTTCATGAAAGATGCAACAAAAATTAGTAAGTACTTACAAACTTCTTACTTAAATCTTCAATATAAAATGAGACATTAATCTACAGAATCATAATCTTTTTATCAAGTCACTTGCAGATATTCTTGCAATAACAACTAATGTTAAGCCGGCGATCAACTATATTACAAGATACAACAAACCAGACACTAGGAGGGAAATCACGCTTATGGATATAAGGTATATTCATGTTACTTATTTCCAATATCATAAGAGAAAAAACGATTAACGTTCTTTCTTTTTCATATGCAGTGGAATGCCAATGCGTGCAAGTTTATTTGGAGATTTGGCTACAAATGAAGGATCAATTCTTGAAGCAGAAATCAAATATAAGCCTGTAATAGCATTATCAGATTTTAAAATCTCTATATATCAAGGTACATAAATTATTGCTGAAATTCTTATTAAAGATAACTACACATAAAATTACTCCTATAATTTTCTCATTTTTGCAGGAGATACAAGCATATCGTCGCAAATTATTTTAACATTATGTATCAACCCAAAAATAGAACTAGCTAGTGAATTAAGGGAATGGTAAGCAGAAGAAGCATACTTTCATATAACCCAATAATAAAATATTATTATATTTTAATCTAATATGCAGGTTTCAATTGGAAGAATCTGCAAAAGAAAAAGGATCTCCATCGATGCTTTTTAAAAATGCAAAGGAAATTCATATTAGTGATATTATGCATAATTCACAGAATTCGATACCGGTACAATATTATATACATATTCTTATCTACAAATTTAAATCTAACTAAACTTTGTTAATATACAGGCACTGTATTGCACATTTAAGGCAAATATAACTACTATTTTAAATAGGCTCGAGCCATGGTTCTATGCTTGCAAAGGCTGTGACAAGAAGGTTGATAAAGATGTTAGTAAAGAGTGTCTGAATAACAAATACTGCAGAATCATTGATGACCAAGTACCAAGGTTAAGTAATATATCTTTTTTAATGCCATGAACATATTAAAATACAATACTAATTGTCTTTAGAAATTAACAATGAAAAATACAGGTACTTAGTTAAGATTCTTGTGGAAAATGGCACGGATAATGAAGAGTAACACTCTTTGACGTAGTAGAAACTCTTATTGGATGCAAAGCAAAAACATTCATTACAGAAAAGAAAGAGGTAATTCCTAACTCTATTCAAGTAATAAATTAGAAAATAAACAAATTCATAAGTATTAATATAACATTTGTTCTCATTACAACAGAAAAATAATCAAAGTCCATATTTCCAAAAAATTGTTTTGAACATCGGAAAAACATTCAAATTCCTGGTGAAGTTAGATGAAAAGACAAAAGATGAACGAGGCGAAGGCAATATAATAGCACAAGAAATTCAACTCCAGCCTGATATTACAATCGACGTAGATGATGAAGATGCTACTCTAGAGTTGCCCAGAAAAAAGATAAAGGTGGTGAAAGATTGATCTTGGTTCAATTAGAAATTTTCAAGAACAATATTTTTTAATAATTTTATATAACAACTTAATTTTTTATTATAATTAGGAATTTTTATAAGGCATTTTCATGCAAAGTTATTAGTAGTTTTGTATGCTTATGTGATTTCTTACATCACATAAAATTACACTGTGATATTTAACCATTTTACTATATTTTATTATTGTCTATGGATATGATCCTGCATTTCGTGAGAGGCAATCGATAAAAATATGCTTTTATTGATCCTGTGAATGGATATATTGTCAGATAGACATAAAATACTCTTCCTAATATCTAGTGCAGCATGTGATCAATCATTTATGATATAAAGGTGACATCTTTAACTAATTGACAAAGAATTACTATTGTGATGAATTTGCTTGGGGTTGTCACAAACTTCAATATTCATTGTTTTCAAAAAAAACCTTGGCTTACTAATTATTACTTGTTGAGATTGTTGCCATGTTGAATAAGGGACCAAATTTGATCAAGATTTACTTTAATACTTTAATTAAGTTCATGTTAAGTGTTGGTGGTAGTGATCAATTAAAAATACTTTAATACTTTAATTATTCCAGACGGAATTTTCCGTCTGGATTACGTCGTTTTGTACCAGTGAAAGAAACTGAAATGGTAGCTGCTTTAGTTCTTGCATTTTAATTAGAAAGAGTTAATTAGATGGAAGAAATTATATGGCTTAATTAGACACGAAAAAATTAATTAGAGGGAAGATTGATAGTCAAAGACATCAAAATATGAAATGAAGAGTTTATTTGGAAAGAGACTAAAAGAGCAGGATTTAATTCACGCATTAAATTGAAAAAAGAGTAAATTAAGTGGCAGCCTCTTGGGTTTAATCAGGTGCGAAAAAAAGTAATTAGAAGGAGGGGTATTTTTAACCAAGAAAAGTTTATCTGAGCTTCCACTTTTAAAAGAAGAATGATACTTTTCAAGGAAGGACTTAACACTTTTGTTTGTTAGTGAAGAATTATAATATAGTTAGCATTTTCCTAATCATAATCGCATTCGATGACAACGTACAAATTCAGATAGCAAGTTATTAAATCATTCATTGTTTTGTGAAAAATTACAAAAAGAGCACAGATCCCATCCTTTTCACGATCTGGTCCAAAGAAATTATCATAACATGCAAATTATAAGCAAATCACCCATATGCAGAGTTCACCTTTTTAGTAAATGTATGAATTTTTCTTTTTGTTAACTTAAATGGAATGTCATCTAAATAAAACCCTATTTCTTGATTTCCATACTTTCTCCTTACCTTTATGATTTCACTTTCTTCTTAGTATTTAAACAGTTTGAAAATATGAAAGATTGATTCTCTGTTCATCCTGTTATGCCGTAAAAACAGCCTTAACGACTAGAGCGTCACGACACTCACGTGGTCAATACATGAAACTAAGCAGTAGATCCTGATTCGAACAAAAGATGACTTTGGAAACTTCCTAATGAAAGGGTCAGCCCTAGAACATTGGGGAGATTCAATAGTCCACGTGTCAGTCATCCTGCAACCCAATTCCCACCGAGAGGGAAGTAAAACATAGCCCAAGGCAGTTAATTCTATTCACCCAAATGTTAACACATGTATCCTCTTCTTTATCTGGACAACCCAAACTTCTATAAAAAGTAATAAAATGTGGTAACTTCCCTAGCTTTAAATCTACTATAGTTTATATAGTTTTACTAGTTTTGATCCTTTCATTGAAGAGATTCTATGGGGGTGTTTGTTTCATTTTTTGGGGATATAGTCAAGTTTTGGGATATTGAATCCCCAAATTATAAAAAATTAATATATTTTAGGATTTGTAAAATTTCCTCATTGATAGGGGATATGTGCTGGACATCTGACAAAACCCGCCAGCTTATTTTTTCTAAACTTTTAAAAACCAAAATCACCCCATTCCCATCACCGCTTGGTTTCTTCTCCCTCCTCTTTTACCCGCCTCCTATATTTCCCACTACCATATTTTTTTTACCCGTCGCCTCCTCTTCCTGCTCATATTCTTACCCGCCGCCTCCTCTTCCCACCTCCTGTTCTTACTCGCTACCTCCTCACTATCCTATTCCCATACCGCTATTCTCGTGGCCCTCCTCTTTTACCCGCCGCCTCCTCCATTTCCTGCCTCCTCTTTTACTCGTCACCTTCTCCATTTCAGTTGTATCTTTGGTAAAGAACGAGTATTTGGATGACAAAACTAGGATTTGGGCAAAACTATTTTTGGGGATTTCTGTGGATTCTGGATTCTACGGTTTCAGGCGATTCGCTCAAATCCTGCATGTATAGATTTTGCACCCTATCTCTCTAAATATGTGCTTTGATTTGTGTTAGGATTTTGTAATAATGATTTGGGTTGATTTTTTGCTGTTTGCTGAGTTTTGATGCATGACTGGTTATGATTTTGGGTAGATTTGAGTTTTGATGCATGCTGAGTTTTAGTTTGCGGCTGAGTTTTGATGCTGGGTAGATTTGGGTTGATTTCTGTCGATTTTGTAAGTTTTGATGCAGGACTTTCTTTATCTTTCAACATAATCTGTCATAAAAACTTAGATATGTGTAAGGAGCAGGTTCAATAACTTTTATGTACTATATAGCAATGATGATAATAATATGATACCAGGTTCAATAGCTTTTATGTAAGGAGCAGGTTCAATAACCTATATTTGGGATCATAAAATGAGGTTTAGGTCATTGAAACCCAAAAACATGAGGTTTAGTTTATATTAAGGTTAATTTCAGTGACCATGAATTGGGTTCATCTATTTTATGTGTTTATTAAGGTTAATTTCACTTAACTTCTTGAACATTGTTGATTTCTATTTACTGTCTTGGCACTTATTTAAGATTGATGCATAATATTTATATGGGAAATCTCTTTTTAAAACAATGTAGATGGACGATATTGATGAAGAGATGTTAATGAGGATGGCTTCTAATGCTACTATCTTTGTGTTGATTTGTGTGTTTGCTTGTTTAATAAGGATACGTAGTAGAAAAAATCAATCACTTATCACCCTAAGGTGGAAAATAAAGAGAATATAGAATCTAGAGCTAGACACATAAGTTGTGTATTTAATGGCTATAATGAGAGTTGTAGGGCATATGTCAGAATGAGGCCGCGTATATTTGAAAATCTTGTTATTATAGTGAGATATACCAACCTACTAAAAGATTCACGGGGTGTTAAAGTAGAAGAACAATGGCTCATGTTCCTTAATATATTATGTCATAAAACAAAAAATAGAATTGTAAGGTCACATTTCATAAGATCGGAGGAAACCGTTTCAAAATACTTTAACAAGTGCTTGGAAGCCGTTGGTCATTTAAGGGGACGGTACATGAAGCAAGCACCAAGTGAAGTATCACCAGAGATTGCCACAAACCCGTTATACTATCCTTATTTCAAGATTATCATTATTATAATATAACTACTTATAATAAATTTCTTTTTGGTAATAAATCAATCAAATAAAGTATGTCTATTTAATTACAATTAAAAAATATATTAAATTTCTTTTTGATAATTGTAGGAAAATATTATTTATGTGATGCGGGCTACATTACTATGCATGGCTTTATCTCCCCATATTGGGGAGTGGGTTATCATCTAAATGAGCATAAATGTAGGCCAATCAATAATAGACAAGAGTTGCTCAATTTAAGACACTCGTGTCTAAGGTCTAAAATTGAATCAACTTTTGGGGTATTGAAAAATTATTTCAAAATCCTATCTGCGAAGCTAAATTACCCTTTTCCAACTCAAGTTGATATAGTTATTGTATGTACTATACTTCATAACTACATCGCCATAGAAGATCCAGGTGATGAGTTGTTGCATGAGGACAATTTCATTGAAGAGGATGGAGATGAAATAGCAAATGAGGGTGAAGAGGGTGTTGTTGACTTTACTCAAACTAGACACAAAGAGAGGAAAGAGATTCAAGAAATGAATGGAGAGCAAAGAGGGATCAAATTGTAATTGAAATGTGGGAAGATAATTGTAGTAAATATCATGGTGAAGACACAACCGAGATTGGGA